GGATGCAAACCCTAAATTGAGCATATGATGTATATGAAAAACGTGCAATAATTTAAATTGCCAAATATTTATCTTACCAATGGTGTAGATCGTTATTATAATTGTGGTAAGCACTGTAGCTGTACTAGTAACTAAAAATAGTGCAGACATACTAACTCAGTCTGGCAAAGTAAGGTTATTTCAAAATAGGGTTCTTAGTGTTGCTTGATTGGTATTTCCAGAGAAAAACTCTCAAGTCAGATGCCACAACTCAGGAATTTTTAAAGCTGTAGCAGAAGGTGACACTCTGTGCTGCAAGAGACACCTGCGAGACAGAGAAAGAAGCAAGAAGCAAATGCTTCTACCACCTTTTTTTTCTAATTTTTTTTTTTTTTTTAAATCCACAAGGGTGGTTTTAGAAAAGCAGATTAATCTGAATTATCATAGTTATGGCATCCAGGGACAGCAGGAAAACTACTTTTCAGGGGGCTTTATGAGATAGATCTAGCCACAGTACTTACAGTATTTCTACTAACATGCCTTCTTTTCCTGGACCCAGTTACTGATTTACCTCTCATGACCAATATTCTTGTGGAAGACCCTATTGATTGTAGCAGGAATAATAATCATGCTTCAGCATTTATAAGGATTAAAATCTATAAATTCTGTTCTCTCATCATGTATTCAATAGTCAGATGGCATCAGAAACCAGTGACCTGGAACAGAAAAGCACAGAGGAAGACAAAAGTCTGTTCTCTGGGAAGGTCTGTGCTCACTGTGTCATTTTTCTTCCTTTCTCTTTTTGTGTTTCTGATGTGCCTAACATTACATGTTCCGAATTATCCGCTGGATCTGCCTTTTACTGTACTCCAGGGTCGAGAAGGACCAGTCTCCTAACTTAACTTAGTTGCCTACATTTAAATTACACGCTCATCACAGGTTCATTTTTTGATATTACAGATTTCTGTTCACTTTCAGGAATTTCTGGGTGAATAGCTCTGGTATCCACAAAAAATTCTATATGACCCACCTCAACTTAAACCCTTATTTTTTGAGAGGATAACAAGAGGGTTTTATGGCAACCAGAAAATTAGTATTTTATATACACAAGTAAGACCAGAAAAGATAATGTTTGTTTAGAAGAAAAATGCTGTGAATGGAAGAGAGAGAAGAGAAGAGAAGAGAAGAGAAGAGAAGAGAAGAGAAGAGAAGAGAAGAGAAGAGAAGAGAAGAGAAGAGAAGAGAAGAGAAGAGAAAGCTATGCCTAGAACACTGGTTCTTTTAACACTGGATCCAATCTTTCATACACTAAATATATATTTTAATGCAGATATGTAGGTCTATGAATCAACGATATGAAATATCAGACTGGGAAAGCAATGAAACCTTTGCTTGTAGCACTGACACATCCAATCTCACTGCTTCTTTACCAAATTAGTCCTGCCTCATTTGATGACTGACTTGAGTATGAATTAGTGCAGTCTTACTGTACCATTTCCCTGTTCTTAAGTTCCCCCTCAACAACACCCTTTGAACTGAAGCTTTATGCACACCACTCCTGACACGTCTTTTCCTCATCCTGCTCACACAAGTATTTAATCAGGTGGCATATTGCTCATGGCCAAACAAATAGTTGGCACATTCAGTTCCTCTGTACAGACTTTGCTATTCAAGCAGAGAACATCTGTCCTGTTGGCCGTGTTCACTGGAGGTTATTGAAAGACCAGAGAGACAAGCATATGGTTTTTTATTCCAGTATCTGGATCGCATCTCAGAATGGAAGCACACACTGTTCCCAGCAAACCCTGCTCACAGGCCAGTGACTCTGATCTGTGTGTGACTTGTACTGTGCTTGTAAACCATGCCACATTTGCACCTCTGCTGTACTGACCCTGAACATCTTTGGAAGACCTTTTATATTATTTTGGGGAACTGCTGAATCTTCTCAAAGGAAAAAAAAAAAAATCAGTGATACGCACATGAGCAAAATCTGTGCATGAGAAGGCTTGGTTAAATCTGGCTGAAACTTCAAAGTTTTGCAGTGTTTAATAGTTGAAAAGTGGTGTTCTCTGGAAGTGAATGAATAAAATAGCAGCTATAATGGATAATCCACTGATTTCACTGGGAAGGTTTGTATGAGTCATTATACTCTTCTATGGGTACCTTTGTACCTTAGGGTTTTGAACACTATGTATCTACAAAGTGTTCTGGCCTACATCAGCTATTATTAAATTTATCTTAAATTTATTTGAGAAGCAGGAAAAGATCTGTTAAGCTATTTACAGTTTAAAACTTTGCTTTAAACAACTCAGCATTTTCACTAACACCATTATATTTGAAATGTCCACAACAAAAGGAAATATTCTTTAATATTTCATGTATGTTATACAGGCTGGCATTGGGTAATTATAGTCCTTTTGTTTAGACAATTCACAAGCACAATGACAACAACTTTTTGACCACTTTAGCCTAATTAGCCTTACTTACAGCTTTCTTCATGAGGTAATCTTCAGGTGTAATAGTATATGACCGGCATGGGAGGGAGTGGATTCTGCCCCTCTCCTCTGCTTTGGTGAGCTCCTACCTGCAGAGCTGCATCCAGCTCTGAGCTCCCAGCACAGGGAGGACATGGAGCTGTTGGAGCCAGGCCAGAGGAGGCACCAAACCGATCAGAGGGATGGAGCAGGCCGATAAGAAGAAAGGCTGAGAGAATCGGGGTTATTCTGCCTGAAAAAGAGAAGGCTCTGGGGTGACCTAATTGGGACCCTGCAGTACCTGAAGGGATCCTACAGGAAAGATGGAGAGGAGGGACTTTTGGCATGAGCATGGAGTGGCAGAACAAGAGAGAATAGCTTCAAAGTGACAGAGAATAGATTTATATTAGACATTAGGAAAAAATTCTTTACTCTGGAAGTTTCCCAGAGAAGCTGTGGATGCCCCATCCCTGGAAGTGTTCAAGGTCAGGCTGGATGAGCTCTGAGAAATCTGGTCCAGTGGAGAGCGTCCCTGCCCATGGCAGGGAGTTCAGAACTAGACGACCTGTAAAGTCTCTTCCACCCCAAACCATTTTGTGATTCTATGGTATTTATCTGCAGGGCATTTTGTGAGTATATGGGAACACCATTCCTGATTTGCATCAAGAGGCTTTGGAGTTGTTACCTGGCTTTGTATGAGATAGCTGTAATCATCTCAGACACTTAAAAAAACCCTGACACTGTAACGTTTGGCAACGGTAAAATAGCTGTCACTGACTGCACACAAGAATTAAGGAAGAATTAACTTGCAGACCATTTTATGGGAGTATGCGCGGGCAGTGTACATTATGCAGAGATACGGTTGGGATCCTTTACGTGAAGAAGTTATTAAATGAATAAATCTCAAAATAAAGGTGGGAGGGGGGAAGGAAGAAAGCAAGGCGAGATAAAACCTCCGGGACCCCAAAGCCGCGGCCACAGAGGCAGAGCCGGGCGCGGGGGGCGGCCCTGCCCGCCGCCCGCCAGTAGGGGGCGCTCGGGCTTCACCGTGAGGCGCTGCGGCCGGGCCGCGGACAACGGGGACGGCCCGGCGTGTGTGACCCCCGAGCGGGGCATCTGTGTCACCCACGCAGGGTGTATGTGCCCCCCAGGCGTGTGTGTGTGACCCCTGAACGGGAAATCTGTGTCCCCCATCGCGGGGTGGATGTGCCCCCCCCAGGCGTGCGTGTGACCCCTGAACGGGGCTTCTGTGAGCACTGAACGGGGTCGCGTGTGTGCGACCCTTTAAAGGGGCGTCTGCTCTTCCTTAACGGGGTGTCTGTGACCCTTCACCGGGTGTCTATGCCCCTCTAATGGGGTGTCTGTGCCCCTCGGGGTGCCTGTGACCCCTTAGGGATATCTGTGATCCCCGGGGTGTCTGTGCCCCCTTAGGGGAGTCTGTGATCCCCGGGGTGTGTGTGACCCCTTAGGGGCGTCTGTGCCCCCATCGCGGGCTGGCTGTGACCCCTCACTGGGTATCTTTGTCGCTCTCACGGGCTGTCTCAGTCCCCTCCCGGGATATCTGTGCCTCGTCTCGGGGTCTGCCCCGCTCCGGCACCGGGACCGCGTACATCCCGCTTTCCTCCTCGTGGCTCCTTCCCTCGTGTCCCTCCCTCTTTCTGCTGCGGTGCTTCGGGGTTTGTTCCGAGTATCTGCGGGAGAGGGGCTGTTCTCCCGGTTCCTGGGGGGCGAGGCGGCTCGTTCTCCCGTCTCCGTCACTGCCTCCTCCGGGGACCTCGAAACTTTCCCTCTGGCGGGAGCTGCGCGGCATCCAAGGGGCCCAAGGGAGGCTGGAGGCTCCTGGGTGTCGGCGGAGCCCGCCGGCTCTGTGGGACACGTGCGATCTTTTGTTTTGTGTTTTATTTCATTTGCCACATTCCCTTCCTTTTCCACTAAGCAGGCCAGCAGAGAAATCCCTGGGGAATATCCTTTCGAGGGTCTCACTCCCGAGCGCCTGCGTGCGTGCGCGCGCGAGAGGGGAAATGAATAACTAGAGAACAGTTCCATGAAATCACTTACCGAAAAATTAGCTGCCCATTAAAGAGGAAGCGGTGAGGAGCTATCATGTAAATCCTACCTACACCCAACTGTAGAGGGGAGGCAGCGATCCTGATTCCCAGCCCTGCGGCTGCCTGCTGGCACCGCCGTCCCCATCTCCCTAGCCCGGGAGGAGAGAGAGAGAGAAAGAGAGAGAGAGAAAGAGAGAAAGAGAGAGGGACGCGTGGGTGTGGAGCGCAGTGGTTTAGTCCACACCCCGCAGCCTCCCTTCCCCAGGCAGCCGCGGGAGCCGCGCTCATTCTCCTCCCTCTCCCTGCCAGCCGGTGTGTCCGCGGCGGTGGGAGGCGGAGGCGGAGGGAGAGGAGGGGAGAGAGGAGCGGAGCGAGGAGAGGAGCGGCGGAGTCCGGGGCCGCCCGGGAGAGCCGCGGCGGCGGGAGAGCCCCGAACTCCGCGCAGCCCCCGCCGCCACCGCACGGCAGCAGCCGCGGCACCGCGCCGGGGTCCTGCCCTCCAACAGTTCCCGCTCCGCTGCCACTGAGGAGGGAGGTGTAGGGGACACGGCTTTATATCTATATTTTTTATTATTATTACTGTTATTTTTCTTTTGAGGGGGATGCTGAGAAAGCGAGCCGTTCCCCTCCCGTGTAGCACATTGCCTGGGCGTTCCTATTATGGAAGTTAAGTGAGAAACTCTGCAGCTTGAACTGATTTGGGGAGAGAAAGGGAGAGAGAAAGGGGTAGGGGGAGGGCGAGAGGAAGGCAAAATAGCCGAACCAAACCAATGGTTTTCCTGCAAAGTGCCGGGAAGTTTGCAGAGCACTTTCTAGGAATCAGGTCCTTTCTCAGAGTCTCTCCTTGTCTTCCGAAGAAAGAGCTTGCTTTTGGATTGCCATGGATCCTAAAGAGAGTCTTAGACACACTTGAATAATTCCCCTGCTTGGGCTGGATTGGTGGGAATTTAGGAAGGAGCGTGTGTGCAAAGCAGAAGCCTTCGGAGCTCACTCGCTGCTTCTCTAATCTGTATGGATCTAAAAGTGTCACATTCAAGACCTTTGCATCTCCAGCTTTTGAATTGAAGATTTCCCTTTCCACATTAAGTAGCTGCTAGGAAACTGAAAACTTTTGGACCTACCTCTTACTGGCTTTGGATACTTTTTTCTTTTTTCTCTCTTTTTTTTTTTTTTTTCTTTCCTTTTTTCCCCTCCCGTTTTTTAAAATCTCTGTGGAATTGGTCTCGCAAGCTATCGGAATTGTTTTTAATATGTCAAAATGGGTCTGCTGACGCCACTCCTGCTCTTCGGATTTGCATTTTTTCAAGTCTATGGTAAGTTCGCTTATTTTAGATATGTCATTTCTGTGCAGAAATCCCCTTCATCTGAATTTGATTTGGGACAGCACATGGATAGCATTATAAGCTTTAACGCTACAGAGCCCTAAGTTTGTTCCTAGTATAAAAATGGTATTTGGGGAGGGAGGGATCGGAAGAGGGAGAATATATGTTTCCAATAAGCAGCCTTTCCCGTCTCCTAACTTAATGGAAAAGCAGCTTATGAATGGAATCATGTCAGCTTGATGTGGCGAGCAAAGAGTAAAAAACTACCGTGATAAATCTTTTATTTGGGGGTGGGGAGCGGGAAGGGGAAAGGAGAAGCAGAGCGTTGTTGTAGCTGGTATTACTTTGCCACCTTCTATTGTTAAACTTTCCACCGGGAGAGCCAGCTGATGAAATAAATAGGTTAGCCCTGCCTGTGCTCCAGGTGAGGCGGACTGGCGGATTTCCAGAGTCCCCCAGCGCCTGTTTCGGCGCTGGCGAGCGGCGGGAAGGGAGGGAAGGAGGCGGGCTGGGAGCGCGGGGCGGCGGCAGCGCGGCCCCGACCACCCCGCTCCGCCTCCGCCCGGCTCCGCCGAGCCGGGCAGGTGGGCCCGCAGCGTCTCCCCGCCAGCGCTGTCCTCATCCCGAGCTTCCCGGGGGGAGGCTTTGCGTGAAGCTTAGCGACGTCTGGGGAGAGGGTGGGTTTCCTTATGAACACCGCCTCCCCCCAGCCCCCCCTCCTTAGGGTGTGCTCTGCAACGTTTCTTGCGGTTTCGAGTTTAAGTACTAGATGGGGAGCTGTAAATTATCATCTTGGGGAAGTACGGTTTAGCAGGGCGAGAACTCGAGTGCAAGGGTAAAGTGCCTTTCAGAGTAGGGGTGGGCGCTGTGCTGCTGCGCAGGCCGTGGATGCACCAGAGCAGCTCAAGCACACGACTGGGAGCGAGCATCCAGCTCTACAGAGGGTGTGCTGGCCCCTAATGCTCGCCAGCCCGGCTACCACTGGGTATTTGCTGCGCTAAACAGTCCTTTAGGCTTGAGGTGAATGCTGTGTCTGGCACCCTGGATGTTCCTGCCTGTGTGTCACAGCAAACTTTGTTCCATGAAGCGGTTCACAGCATTTGCTGTATCAGTCCCGAGGCAAAGGCTCTGGGTTTATTGTTTGCAGTCACAGGCTGCTTTGGGTGTTTCTCCACCACCCCCTAGCAAGAAAAGAGACAAAGTAGAAGAGGGACAGATTCAAGTGCAGTTCTATCTTGGGAGCATGATATGCTCTGCAATTTAATCTCAGGTTTGGTCAGTCGATAAGAAAATTTCTACATAATGTATGCACGTGCTAAACTAAACAGAAGAAGTTTTACCCTGTAAAATGATTTAATAGAACATTTATGTCTGTCAGTGCAGTCATAGTTTTGAAGGGATTTTATGTTTTGCCCTGTTTTTCTTGGTGTAACAAAAGATCCTTAAGACCACCGATATTGGAGGTATCTTTGTGTACAAACTGCAAACATCAGGTTATAGAAATGTAATTATTAGTAAGTGTTTAAAATTGTATGTAGCTAGAAAGAATACAATTAAAGTGCTCAGTGGAAGTGACAGAGTGAATCAGAGGAGCTTAGTGTTACAGAATGTAATTAAAGTACCAGTCTGTTTGGAGATATATGAAACAAATGCAATTAACCAGCTTGCTGGAACGACAGGAGCACGACATAATTTATTCGAGTTTTGTCATGGGGAACACATGTAGAAGGTTTGTTCTGGTTAAGCTTGTGAGGGTGGGGCAGTGCAGGTAATTAGAGCTGGACCATTAGAAAAAATGGCCAAGAAGCTCCCGGAATATATGTGATACTCCCGTTTTGTGGGAAGGTATTGGAGAGACTGTCAAGTTTGCCTGCATTAACAACTCTCTGAAATAAATAAATAAAGATCTTTGTGGATAGCACATCATGACCAAGTAGATATAAGCTGTTATTGTCGAAATGACTAACAAGTAGCTTTGAAGAAATACTGGCAGGCAAGCTTGGCACACAGTGCTTTTGTCTCTGTAGAAGCATAGTAATTACGATCACATCTTAGGCTGACATATACCACTAGTTGCTTTGAAAAGATCTCTATCAACATCAGCACCATTTGTGATGCTTTAGTTTAGGAATAAAAGGCAAAACCCAACTGACTTCTTGTTTAATAGGTCCTTGGTTTGTTTTCTATGTTTGAAAGTTACCTCTTAGTGCATTTCTGGGTTTGAGAGGGTTTTGTTGTTAGGCTTAGCTGGGTGCTTTTGTTTTTTCTCTTGGCAAGAGGTCCAGACATAGACTGTAGCATTTGGGGCATGTTAACCATCCTTTTCCCTCTGAGTTTAGTTTTATTTAGTGATTGGAAAGCGATATAGATCAAAATGATAATCTTTTTCTTCTGAAGTTATTTTTGCTGTCCATAGTTTTAGAAGACCTGAAAATTACACAGCTCAATGAAAGTGGCAGAAAACATGTGCTACATACACATATGTAGATATTTATTATTGTGCTTTTGATTTTCCTGTAACCCTGCCCAAGTTCTTGAACTCAGATGAGTGAATAACTTCAATTCTTTTTTTTTTCTTTAGCTATCAGTCTTGCTTATTGTTCTTGACACAAAGCAAAGAAAAAATCAAACACAAAAAATCCAAATACCAAAACACACAGAGAACTCCCCCAAACAAACAACAAAACACTCCACTAGACAGAGTTCGCATCATAAAGTAAGTCACCAGCAATTGGAGTTAAAAGAGCTGATTACATGTGTATTTTTAATAGTTTTCAATTGATTGTTCTTTCATTTTTCTGTGTTTTGTTATCCTTCTTCTGATAATTAATTAAGTTTAAAAGAACAAATATTAACAGAAAAGGAAGCAACTCATGTGAGCACAGGTATTGGTGGGCCAGACCCTGGCCTGGTAGGACTCATAAATACTTTCAATGAAAATGACAACCTTTTATGTCAGGGCTGGCTTTTAGTCCCTTGAAAACTGCAAGTGTGATGCTTTTGAATGGGAGAAGGTGTTAAAGATATATGAGAATAATTCTGTAAAACCAACATTTTATCACCATATTAATATATTTCAAAAGCACTTCTTAATGAAAAGTATGCATCTGAAATGGTGTGGTGGCTGAAGCATTCTGTATTTATTTTACTTTTTTATTTTTAATTTATTTTATTTCTTCATGAGCTACACATCTGGCCTTGTGTAGGTCCCTGTTGCCTGTTGGAGAACATGGCTTACATATAAAGATGAAGTATATTCTTCCAGTGAGTATTTGAGCTGACAGGGTCTTGATCTCTCATGTGAGTTTTGCTGTTGATGGATAACCTTTGCTTCTGTGGAATGTGTGCATTTTAATGCCTGAAGAGTAAAATTCTGGAGAGTTTGCAGTTTTGTTTCTTTTACCTTGTTCTTCCATAAGACCCAATTCTGCAGAGCATTTAAGTGCGTCCATCTCTTAGCCAGAGCCTTGCATAAGAATTTAAACACTTGTTCCAAGTTAATCATGGGTTTTAAAACTTTACTGAGTGAGGATGAGTTTATGCCTAAAATGACAGGTTTTGCTGAGTTAGTCTTAAGATTTTGCTTTGACTTCCTGTCTTCTAAGTCTCTATCACAACAATATGTTTTTATGTATGGAAGATAAGCAGTGAGGGAGCCCTGTCATTGTAGTTCCAGAGATGGATTTGCTTGAAAAGTAGTGTGATAATCCAGGTACTTTGGTTTGTGTCTTTGCTAATTTGGAGCTCTGCAAAAAGTCTGATACTCCACAAATCTTTCTGAAAAGTTGAAATTAGGGGTTTTTAAGCCTTTATGTGATTTGCACTGACTACAATAATCCTTCCATTAGAAACTGTCTGGAATGATGAGATTGATGTTTCTCAGGGAAATTGAGTTTTAGCAATGCAGGCTGAAGATATACAACCTTAAAAGTAGACAAAATAATTAAAATACATTTTTAAGGATGCATAAAAAGTATCAAGGAGACGTGCCAAAAAGTGTGATGAGAGGAAAAGGAGGCTTTGGCTGGTCTGTCCAGTCAACTCCATTTGCAGGGGTTGCTTTTCCATAGCAATGCTATGTGGGCTCATAGCCCTGAATTTGAAACGTGCTCTGTCTGCTGCTGAACCATTTAGTGGAAATTACTGAAGAGTATGCAATGGCTTTTTAGCCATTTGTTACCCTTGAATTGCTATTCAAATATTGATCTGGGCTAAATAGATTGCTAACAGGTTCTGTGCATTCTGTTTCAGCCACCTAAGAGGACGCTGCTGTCAGGTTTTATCTGTTATCTCAGCTGGCATGGCAGAGCTTGCTCTTCCCATGGCTGCCATCTGGCTCACACCTCTCACACCAACCTTGGGGAGGATACTTAGTGATCATATTGATGCTGTTGCTTGCCAAGAGGCTCCCTTATTGGTGTGCTTTTCTACATTTCTATAAAAATCTCTTTATTTTGCAAGAAGAAGGCAGAAGAAAGTGTTTGTTCTTGCCAAATAAATAAATAAATGAAATGGGTTTTTGGTTCTGACTGAACAGACATTTCTTACATGTAACTGCTGAATTTTTACAGTACCTTGTTATTGTTACAAGAGGTTTCTTGCAGTTATACTTGACAGTACACATGCCTTGTATGTTCAAAAATACTTGTGGATTGGGATCTGATCCCAAATCACTATTTCAGAGAGAATGTTGAGAGAATGTATCCTTCTATGCAGGATAATCGTGTGGACTGTTAGTTATGAGATCTTTGAATGTAAAATATTTGTATGCAAATAAAGATTTGCAGATGCATATTTTGGTCTCACCATCTTTACTCTCACACCTGACTTCTATTATGAATTGTGGACAACAATTGAACAGTTGAAACCATAAGTCCAGAAACAAGATTGAGTGTAGTGTTATCCTCACCTTAGACCTTTTCCTTAATAAAATAACTGTTAATCACCCATGGTTAATAACTTCTGTTGTTATAGTGAATAATTAAATAAGG